TTTTTTTTAGTGCCAAAAAGTCGTCGTCCGGAAATCCGGACGACGGGGGTACCTTACGTCCGGGGAGACGTCCGATCTCCGGACCATTGGTAACATAGAAAAAAGGTTAAAAAACTAAAAACTTTGAAACCAGCGACTTTGGGGAAGGCCCTCACGAGGTGGAAGTCACACCAGTGCTCTGAGGAATGTATCTGGCTAGCATGTGAGGAACGTGATTGCTTATGTTGTAGTTTTTGTTTTCCTACTTTTGGTTTGTCGTTGTGCCCCGCCTGCGGGGCAGGGTGGATTCCACTGGGGGCAGCCAACTGCCCTGCTCACGGCATACTCACACATGCACTGCAGCATCCTGTATTGGACCGCGATAGCAGCATAAGGGAAGTTCTTTTTGGTGTCCGCCATTCGTTTTTCATACGGACAGATGCCCTCACTGAGGGCACAGTCTCACAAGGACCTCATAGGATGTATCTGATGGCTATCACGGCGTGTGGGGAAGTTTCTTTTTTTTCCCTTCCTTTTTTCTTTTTTTCGTTCTATTTGGGATACCAGTCTAGAAATAAGAATGGGACCCAGGCTCGGCAAACTCGGTGCGCAATGAAATTCAGGTTCGGCAAAAACAGGATCGGAGGTAGTGGTGGCTTAAACCGCCAGTACCTTTCCCCGCTATCTTTTTTTCTCTCCGAGCACGCCGGAGGAGCCCCCACAGGGTTGGCACAACTTCGGTCCGGAGCGTGATTTTCATGCAGGGGTTGCGGTTTAGGCAAAAACGAAAAGATTTTGGAAAGCAGCAAAAATATTAAAAAGAGAAGTAGGTTTTGGCGCATAGAAAAGACTGCACGATTCCTTTGGGGCAAAAACGGGGGGAAAAAATACAAAACAGAATTATAGTCTGTCCTCTTTCCACGTTTGTCGGAAAGATTCATTCCCAGGCCCTGTCATCCTCCTAGAAGGATCTACGCTGCGCCTCCACTACTGCTTTCCACATTTACAAATGACAAAATATATTGTGGTGTATCTTGCCATGTTCTGGCAGAGGATTCACTCTCATTTTGCACATTGGGTGAGTTGTGACGCCGCGTGCTTCCGAGTAGTGAGCGTGGCAGATTTGAAGAAGATTTGCAAAGTAGATTCAACAGTTAGGAATTCTTTTTTTTTCTCTCCCTTTCTCAATTACAACTGGCAGACACCGGGATTTGAGGTACCAGTCCACCACAACGCCCCACCTGCCTCCGTACTGCTCACCACATGCAAAAAAAAAAAAACATTATGGGGGTGTATCTTTCCATGCTCTCGCAGTAGATTCATTCACATTTTGCGGTACTGGAGTGAGGCATTCAAATCGTTCTTTTTGTTTCGTTTCTTTTTTTTTTTGCTATGAAGCAGCGGTGTGCCTTCTCTTTTCTCGGCTCACAACAGCGCAACCAAGGTCACGCCTCCTCATCTCATTTTATTTATTTATTTATTTATTTATTTATTTATTTATTTATTTATTTATTTCCCTTCAATGCTTCACATCTCTTTTTCCGGCCTGCCCTACCACAACATCGGGCACTGGCCGCGGACTGGTTCGGGAGGGGCAGCTCAAAGGCACTGGCGGTTTAAGGGGGTTCAGCACCCAAGCAACAGCGGTGTTTGCCACTCAGGAGGTTTGGTCATTTCGGGCCTCGGCGATTAGGGGTTGGCCATTTACCGCTTTAGGGTTTAGGGGTTTGGGCAGGGGATGGCAATTGACAGTTTGAGGCCATACTCTCACACTGGGCCTTTTTCGACTGATTTCTTAGCATGTGCTTACAGTCACTACATGCCACACTCGCCGTGACTGCAGTCACTACATGCCACACTCGCCGTGACTGCAGTCACTACATGCCACACTCGCCGTGACTGCAGTCACTACATGCCACACTGGTGCAGTCAGATACATCCAGGAACATCCTAGTGTGAGTATGCTCTGGGGGTTGCCCATTTAGAGTTCGGGAACGTATGCGCTTGATCATGTGAGGTCAGGAGTCTAGGGTTCAGAAAGCTTTGAAGTTTGAATCCTTACGAGCTTGATGGTTGGGAGGAGGGATTTGGCGTGCAGCATCTTAAAGTGTTCAGGACCTATTGGTTGTGGTCTTTAGGGTTTGGGGGGTGGGATGTTCACAGGCTTAGGGTTTAGGGTTCCAACTTCCAGCTTCCAACTTCCAAAGGTTTTTGACACTGTGAACTCTTGACTCTTAGGGGTCCGGCCGTTTCGGTCATCCGTGACCTTTATGTTTAGGGGTTTGGCCACTTAAAGCTTTGCTGTCTCAGGGGTTTCTCGTAGGGTTTATGGTTCTGAAAAGTTTTGACTGCCGACTGTACGATGCTCGGCGTTCGAGGCCTGTCAGGACATAGGGTATAAAGGTGACCAAGACTTAGAGGTGTTGTGTGAAGCGCTGCGCTGTTGACAATATGATGTGCTATTGTTCAACATCCTTGCCTTGAACAGGGTTAGGAATGTCACACAGAAATGGAGACCAGTCACCATCATTGCCTCAATTATCATCCTTGTCATCGTCGTCATGAGGACCACAAAAGCCAGAACAGCCCTAGCTAAAGGAACAGCAACAAGAGAGCAGTAGAGAGCAAGGGCTGCCAGTTGGTGCAGTTGCGGCCTACCGTAAAAGGCGGCAACTGTGATCCCGTGGCTTAGATGAATGGTCGTAGCTCTCATCGGGACCGGACAGGGAAGCAGGAACCAAGTCCGGAACAGTTGAACACCGACGGAACCAACACAGCAACGCCTGATGGCTGCTGCCAAGAAAAAAAGGCAGCAATAATATCATTCAAAGCCCACCTCCTGAGAGAATGATTATAGTAAATTTCCTCAATACAAGCGCCAAGGAAGGGGGTTGTAGGGATTAGGGGGTCAGAAGGGGGGAACAAGGTCCCAAGAAAGTTAGATTGCAAACCTGAGACATGAGGTAAAGAATGCGCTGACAAAGCACTAAGGTCTTCCCAGAGCCCTGTCCACGGATAAAATCAATGTCACTCAAAATTAAAACATGCAACTGGTAAAAAGCAAAAATTCGCTGATTGCATTGCTCTGAACAAGAGTAATACTGACTGGTCCAATACTTTTCGGAAAAAAAAAAGAAAAAAAGAGACGAGAATAAGAAGCAGCAGAAAAGGAGAATGTGGGAACATTGACTGCAGCCTTCCATTTTACTGCTGTTCTTTTCACAGAGTTCTCCTCATGCTGAAGCTTGGTAGAAAGAAAAAAAAAAAAAAAAAAAAAAGCAGCACCACAAAAGGGAAAAATGACACGGTGGGAGAAGACAACAATTGTCACTGTTAGTGAACAAAATTCGAAAAATGCCACTGTCAGAATGTACCTTGGCATCTATCTTTACATTTCGGTACAGATCAGAATGCACCTTAACCTCTGTGATTGCTTGCGACCCGATTTGGGCCAGATTTAGGCCAAGGAATCCACTTGGATGGCATAAGTTGAATGATTTTGTGCATTTTAACTTCATTTTGGAAAGAGTTTTTACTGTTTTTTAGTATAGATTGGTATAGTTGTTCTAATTCAAGAAGACTCTATACAAATTGTTATTTTTATTTTTTTATTTTTAAAAAAAAATTGGACTATTTCTTGATTTATGTGTGTCATCCTTGCGCAGGGGCCATGCTAATCTTCTCTGTATCGTTCCAATTTTAACGGATGTCCCGAAGGACCAAATTGTTATTTTTAAAATGCATGCTGCGCCCTGGTTTTTTGTCTATCATAAAGTGAATTTGAGAGTAGACCTTGATGGCCTCCAAACGTCCGATTCCTTTCATGGTCGCATCGGCAAACGAGAATTTGGAACCCAGGTACTTCGCTCGCCCTCATCGTGGTTCACGGACCCAGGCCAAGGGTCCACAGTGGAGAAATACGGGAGCTCGGAAACCAATCCTGAAGCAAAGATTGATTTTCCCGCAGTTCAAGAATTTTGCAAGGAAAATGAACAGAAGCGAGATGACAATATTCAGATTGCACAATCACATTGAAAGCCAGATCGTATCACAGTGTTCAGAAAGTAGCATTGCACCAATATGACACCAATGAAGAATAGTAGCACTGAAAAGCAATGTCAATGAGAGCTTGCTCTCGCCACCACCAACATATGTATCCAGTCCCTATCTTCCTACTTGGCGCTCGGAGCCCAGCCTACTCCCTACACAGCTACTACTCGCCTACTAATTGACAATGCAACTGTTGACATGGGGAGGTGAAACACGTGCTGGAAATCGCGCCCCACCATCCCAGAATTGTAGCATTTTACTCATCTGCTTCCAGTAGAGTTCGAACTCAGGTCTGGATTTCAACAGTTCAGGGGTGTACCAACTGAGCTAGGTCAGTTGGTTTCGTCCCACATTTCCACCAACGCTGTTTCTTAGAAATCTCTCTACCGACTCATCTTTGCATCCCTGGCCCAAATATTTTGACCACTCTTCAGATTCCCCAAAACTAATAAAGGCATGCCGAGTGGGTTCTAACTCCACTCTAAGGTCAGATAGAGAGGTGGACGATCATTCCAATGTTGTACAGGGACGCTGGACCCAGTTTCCAGCAGGTGCTGCTTCCCACCAATAGATGGAGCCTTCACAAGCAGGGTCCTGATTAGAGAGGATGCTCTTATCACCTCTCTAAGCGGAGTCCCCTGTACTCAAAGTTCCCCCCCAAAAAAGGTTAGAGAGGTGGAAGGAAGGATCATGGCTGAAAGGAGGATAGATGAAAATGGAGGGAAAACGTACCGCAGCAGCGAGAATCATGAGAGGACGATCAGCAGGTGCGGTAATTGCATCCACTTGTGCTTGGTTCAACTTGATGGACCTTTGTCTTTGAAAATGACGAGGCTCGAGCAGTCCGAGAGCGGGACTGCTCTCGGCCCCTGCCGTCGCCGCCTCCATAGCTCTCCCAGTTTTTCAAAGTTGACGAGGACAAGTCGATCAGCAGCGGCGCAGGGCAACAATCTACGTCCTCCTCCACGTGG